CTTCTCTCCAAAGGTCGCACAGACCGAAGCGTCCCGCCACCGACCTGGCAGGGGGCCATGTTTAACGAGCAAGGCGTCCTGACGACGGACCCCCAGGAGATCTTAGACCTTGCCGAGTCCTTCTTCGGAGATTTGCATCGGTCCAAAAACGCCATGCAGCTCCCCGATTTGATCCAGAAACGCTGGGACCGTTCGGCCCTCGAGGGCCTCGCCCAACTTTCTGGCGCTCGAGTTCGGCAAGTATTCCTTCGTATGAAACGTGGTAAGTCATGCCCCCGAAGCGAGATACTCGTCGTCGAAATGTTCCTGGATGCCTCGGATGATTTCTTCGAGATCCTCGCCTCCCTCTTCGAACTTAGACTCCTGAATGACCCATCGATGGACGAGCCCTGTGGCTGGGACGAGCACGATGTTCATCTTATCGAGAAAATGACCAACCCATTGCACATTAAGAAATGGCGCCCCATTGCTGTTCTCTCGGTGCTATGGAAAGCTTATATGCAGATACTGTCCGAGCTAGGCCGCGTTGCAGATCGGCCACTGTCGCCGAATCAGTTTGCCTTTCGCCCTGCGCACCAGACGGCTGAGGTCATCTTTATTATTCGTCTCCTGGTTGAGAAAGCTATCGAATTTCGGATACCATTGCATATTGTTTCTGGGGATATATATATATATATATAAATGTTATGACTGTGTTGACCATGGTGTCTGGTGCCACGCTTTCAAGCTCGCCTCGGTGCCCGATGTCATTACCGCCGCCATGATCCGCGAAGTTAGACGCGGACGAGGCCGTCTCTTGCTTCCTTGCCTGCCTCCGTCGCAGCCGATATCTCGGACTCGATCGATATATCAGGGCGATCCAGATGGCCCTCGCAAGTGTAACCTCATTATGGAACATACTCTCATTCGTCCCTTCCTCTCCATTTGCAAGTCCAAGGGCTGGGGCTACCCTCTGGATTTTGAAGACGCACGCCCGTTGGGCTTCGAGTACTATGCGTACACCAGGAGGGGCGAGGATTCGCAGCAGATTCGAAGAGTCCCGTTACTCATCTTCGCCGACAACTTTTGGCTGCTAGGTCCCACGCCGTCGATGGTGACCCTCATGACAGATGCTTGGAATAATCTAATACGGCTAGCAGGCTGGTGGGTGGACTTGAATGATATGCAGTGGACAGCGTCTGAGGATCACCAATCCCGACTGGCCGTGCATGATGTCTGGGCCCAGCCCCTCCCCCAGAGGTCCGCCGTGGCCCCTCGGCCCACCATGCGCCAGAAGAAAACCGAAGACATCGCCCTCCCCGTCTTTCACATCCCTTTCACTCCGAGAGAGCAGGGGATAAAGGTCCTGGGCCATCAGATCACCTTCGATAACAATGCGTCGGTCGAAGTGGACAGGCGCACACGTGCCGCCTGGAGTGCTTTTGCGCGCCATAAGAAACTGCTGACCACGAAGTGTGGCACCATCTCCAATAGGTTGAGATTGCTGCACAAAGTTGTCCTCCCCGCCCTGACCTACAACATCGGGGCCCTGCATCTCACCCATGACCATCTTCTGAAAATTCGGGCCGTCCAGATTGCTATGGAAAGACGTGTTATTAAACGCAAGTTGCCCCCCCCACCCCCGAAAACGACCCGCCCGGCCCCGACTACGACGACGACGACGACGAACAATGACCAGATGAAGGCCCCCGAGGTTCCTGAGACAGGCCACGTGGACCCAGATAAGTTGGACGAGTTCGAGGATTTCGAGGAGGACTTCTTGGGGGGCCATCTGGCGTACGTCAACCGTCTGAGGGCCCACTATCTGAATAAGTTAGGTCTCCAGAGATGGGATATAGTCTGTTTGTGCCGTGTTTTCGACTGGTGTGGCCACGAGTGTAGGTTCCAGAAGTATGCCCCAGACAGGCTTGCACTCCTGGCCCTGCTGTGGAGGGGTCAACGCTTCCTGGCGGACGTGAACACACGTGTTGGCTCCCAGTGCCACGGCCACATTTTCAAACCTTGGAGATTTGAGGACCAATTTCAGTTTCTGATCAGTCAAGACTATCAGGAATTAGCCTCCGACCCAGAGATGTGGCAGGACAGCCGCACAGCCTGGTTGAAGAGGAGGCTCAGACGGTCGTCACGACGATGATCGCGCTCAGGCGCGCCCACGCCCGCCTCTCTTCCATCGCTGCTGTCTCTCTCACTTGCCCAGGTAGATCTGCCATCCAGCGGGAGTTACACCTCCATTCAGGCTGAGTCGCATCGCATCGTCCACGGGTACCACGCTTTTTCTTATCCGTAAGGGCTTCGCCCCCTGCCGCCGGCCCCCTCTCTCGGAGAATGCGCTATGCAAGAGCTGTGTTATGATGCCTGGGCGCTGTCGCGAAACAGCATCGGAACTTCATGCGAGGCCGACTCGTAATGGGCAAAACCAATTGATGACCAGGGGGGTTACCACACCCGGCGATTGGTAAGGCGTCGTGGCCTTGCCGATCAACATGAGGGGTGCCGCCGGATTTCAAAAGTGTGGCAAATCCCATGTGTTTTTGGACCCTGGCCCTGCCGATCTGCGTGAGGGGTGCCACCGGATTTCAGAAGCGTGGCAACTCCCTTGTGTTTTTGGACCCTGACCCAACCGATCTGCGTGAGGGGTGCCACCGAATGTCAGACATGTGGCAACTCCTCTGTGTTTTTGAACCCTGACTTCGCCGATCTGCGCGAGGGGTGCCGCCGAATTTTACCACTGCGGCAAATCCCTTTTATGTTTTTGGCCCCTGACCCCGCCGATCTGCGTGAGGGGTGCCACCGAATTTCAATAATGCGGCAACTCCCATGTGTTTTTTGGGACCCTGACCCCGCCGACCTGCGTGAGGGGTGCCAGCTAATTTCAGACATGTGGCAAATCCTTGTTGTTTTTGGACCTTGACCTCGCCGATCTGCGTGAGGGGTGCCACCGAATTTCAATAATGTGGCAAATCCCATGTTTTTGGGGACCCTGACCCCGCCGGTCTGCGTGAGGGGCACCACCGGATTTCAACAATGTGGCAAATCCCATGTGTTAGTGGACCCTGGCCCCGCTATGCGCGACGCCCTTCCAGGGCATAGAGGGTGGGCAGGGGGTGGTTCGTCACCGCGGCCGCTATGCGCGCCGGTCGTCCACGGCATAGCAGGCGTGCCCCTTTCTCGACGCCATGGGGGGTGCGCGGAGAGGTGGTTTGTCACCGCGGCCGCTATGCGCGACGGCGGTCCAGGGCAAAACAAGCGTGACATTTTCTCGACCTCAGAGGGGGTGCGCAGAAGGAGGTCGGTTTCCCAGGGTTTAGCGCGCGTGGCATTTTCTCGAGGCCACAGGGGCACGCAAGCGGGGGGGCTATCATCACCATTAAGAACATCAGTCGTGCAAGTTTCATGTCAGCTATCATCACGCCAGACATATTACAAGCATGTGGGGTTCATCAGTTTCCTCCTCTTCCTCCTCCTCCTCCTCCTCCTCCTCCTCCTCCTCCTCCTCGTCCTCTTCCTCCTCCTCCTCCCCTCCTCCTCCTCGAGCCCTCCCCCCCCGCCCTTCGTTCCCCGACGCCCCCCCCCCCCCCCCCCCCGCTCCCTCCCCCCGCGCCCCCCCTGTCTCCCCCCTTCCTGCCTCCCCTTGCAGCCCCTGCCGCAGAGGCTGGTCCCCGCGGAGGTGGCGCCCGAGGACCGCGCCCGCGCCAACCCGGCCGCCCCCGCGGCGGCGGCGCCCGCCCGCCCCCCGCGGCGGCCGCGCCGCCCCCGCCCGCGGCGGCCGCACCGCGGGGCCCCCGCCGCCGCCGCACACGCTGCTGGTGCCTCCTGGGGCTGCAGGGGGGGGGTGGGGGGGGGACCCAGCGGGAGCGGAGAGTTGCCGGGGAGGCGAGAGGCGGGGGAAGGGGGGGGGAGAAGCAGGGGGGGCGGGAGCAGGGCCGGTGGGCGGGGGGAGAGGGGGAGAGCGGAGGTGGGAGCGGGGGGGTGGGACGGGGGGGAGCGGCGGGGAGCGCAGTTTCCAGAGATCTAGCGCATTGAAAAAATCAAGACGCAGGGTTTTCGCCGGGCCTCAGCGGCCTTCCAGCCCCGGGGTGTTCTCGAGCAGCGGCGCCTCGCCGAGAGCGTTTAGGGGGGGGCACTCGGATCGCTCCGGATGTCCGTCAGAGGCCGTGGGGGGGGGCGCCCTGGGCCAGGGGCAGTTCTATCGGGCGAAGGGAACTATGCACATGCACCGATCCTTGCAAGGCCCATCCTTGGCCCAGGATCGGTGTATGCATATGCCTTCTTCCTGGCCAAGGCGGGAGGGCGTATGCACCGATCCTGGGCGCAGGAGGGGCCTTGCCAGCACCGGTGCATGTGCATAGTTCTTTTTCTTTTATTATGGCAACACCCGAGGGAGGAAGCGGCAGCCATGACCAAGACTACACGCCGAGCTTCCGTGCCGATCTTGGTGACCGTCCATCTTTGTCAGCGTCAATTCGTGGACCCGCCTCGCGAATCGGCGAAGGCCGACATGGACAATGATCGAGATCGGCATCGACAAGATCCCGCGACATCATGGTCATCCTGGGGGCACCTTGGGTCGGAGGCCGTGGGGGGGGAGGGCCTCATTGGGAATCCTGGAGGCCCCTTCTCAGAGATCCCGGTGTCGTGATTTTTTCAATTCGGGATCCCCTGAAATCTCGACCCCTTCCCTAGCAACAGTTTTTCATCCTGAGTCTTTCTTTTGACGGTCCAGAGGCCCTGACTGAAAACGGAGCAAAACCTCAGTCTTGATTTTTGCCAAGGCGCTGGGCCTCTGGGTCCTCCTCCTCCTCTGCCCGTCCCCCCTGCAGCCCCTGCGCCCCCCCCCGCTACCCCAGTTCCCCCCCCCGCTCCCACCCCCGCTCCCCCATTCTCCCCCCCCCCCCTGCTCCCTCCCCGCTCCCCGCCCGCCCCCGCTACCCGCGGCCCCCCACAAGGTTGGAACTCTGCGTTGGGCCAGGGGCGCTTCTGGCAACACCCGAGCCAGGTGCCGCCCCCGCGCCGCGCGCCGCTGCCGCCGATGGTCCCCCCGGCGCCGCCCGCCAGCGGCGGCGCCGTGCCCCAGGCGCCGCCCGTCGCCTGCAGCTCGACGTCGCCCTGCTGCTGCTGCCCACGACGCCGACGACGATGACGGCGACGACGACGGCGGCGGCGACAACGACGGCAACGACGATTGCCGACGACGACGGCGAAGAAGACGACGACGACGACGATGACGACGACGACGACGACGACTGCGACGACGACGACGACGAGGACGAGGACGACGGCGAAGACGACGGCGGCGGCGGCGGCGGCGACGACGGCGGCGGAGGCGACGACGACGACGACGACGGCAACGACGACTGCCGACGACGACGACGACGGCGGCGAGGGCGACGACGACGACGCCGACGACGACTGCCGACCACGACGACGACGACGACGACGACGACGACGACGACGACGACGACGACGACGACAGCGGCGACGGCGACGACGACTACGACGACGACGCCGACGATGCCTGCTGCTGCTCTTCATGATTCTCTCCTCCTCCCCAGAGTTCCGACGCTCCAGGAAAAAATGGAGCGGCGTGTTTTTGGCCGTTTTCGGCCTCTGGGGGCCCTCGCCGGGCCCTGGACCGTCAGAAAAACGACTCGGGATGAGAAACCGGTCCTGGGGAATGGGTCCATCGGAGCTCAACATTTATACGTGAACATCTTTTCTTTCCGTTGGGGACCCCGAAATCAGAGTATCGCAGCGTGGCGTTCGTGGCAAACTACTTGGCAGCGGCAGTGGCAGTGTCCCGGTGACGACGGCGCAGGCTCCCCTTTTGGGGATGGCCAGCCGATTCCGCGGCCCCCACCAGCGACGATGCCAGGGCACTCCGGGGGCCACGCTGGTGTATACCCCAGACCCCATCAGGACGCGACCATGCGTACACACCGAGAAGAGCACACACCAAGCACGCCAGATCTGTTGTGCACAGTGTACCCAGTAAGCAACGAGTGTTTGTACACGTGCTCCGAACGTGGTTCATACACCAATCACCTGGTCTGGGTTGCGCCGCCGTGGGCGGGGGCGGCTGGGATCCGTTGAATCCGGCTCATCCTTGATGGGCGAGTCCTAGCGGGCTTGCATGTGCGTGTCTGCGCGCGCAGCCACGCTCATGCACTCACGCGGCGCGGGAAAGACGATAAGGCTGTCAATTTCTGTCGAAGCAGGAAAAGTGTGTCGGTATAGTTGTTGTCCTACCGGTCCAGAATTCCGGGGCCCACGCGTAGAATTAATTGGAGCGGCCAGATGCCCCCGCATAGAACCAGCGCGTTGAAAAACTCAAGACGGAGGTTTTGCGCCGTTTTCGGCCTCTAGAGGCCCTCGCCGGGCCCTGCAGGCCGTCAAGAGAACGCCTAGGGATGAACAACTGGTCTTGGGGAGTTGGTCGAGGCTCCGAGGGGGCCGTCGTAGAAAACACGACATCGGATCTCCGGGTCATCCTCTTCCTCCTCCCCCTCGTCTCTCCCTTCCGCGGTGTCTGCTGCTGCTGCTGTTGCTGCGCCACCTGCTGCTCCTCCTGCTGCCCCTTGCCCTGCTCCACCGCCGTCCTCCCCTCGTCCCTGCCTCCCCCCTCGACATAGAGATCCAGCGTGTTGAAAAAATCAAAACAGGTGGTTCGCCGCTTTCGGCCTCTGGAAGCCCTCGCCGGGCCCCGGGGACGTCAGAGAACGACTCAGGATGAGCAACCGGACCTAGGGAAGTGGATCGAGACATCGGGGGACCCCGCATTACGACATCGGATCTCTAGGCAGTGGGAGAGATGGGGGAGGAGGGCAGGAGGAGGAAGAGGAGGAGGAGGAGGAGAAGGAGGAGGAGGAGGAGGAGCAGGAGGAGGAGGAGGTAGAGGACGATGCGGAGGCCGAGGAGCAGAAGAAGGAGGAGGAGGAGCAGGAGGAGGAGGCGAAGGGGGAGCAGGAGGAGGAGAAGGAGGAGAAGGAGGAGGAGGAGGAGGAGGAGCTTGGGCAGGAGGAGGAGGAGGAGCGTACCTGAGAAGGAACAGGAGGAGGAGGAGAAGGTGGAGGAGGAGGAGGAAGGAGGAGGAGGAGGACGGGGAGGACGAGGAGGAGGAGCAGGAGGAGCAGGAGGAGCAGGAGGAGCAGGAGGAGGACGGGGACCCCGTAATTATTGAAACAACACGTCGTCGAACCTCCTGGGGGCAGCGCCTGCGCCCCTCGAGAGGTGCTGGAGCCCTTCGGGAGAGGCCAGGCGTACCCCGATTTTTTCCTGAGGAGCGGCGCGGGCGACCCGTGGAACCTGCTGCGCTGAGCGCGGCGTTGGGCCTCCTCGCCTCTGTCCAGGTCCTCGTCCTCGTCCCCTCCGGATGCTGCTGGTGCTCGTCCTGTTGCTGCTCCTCGTCCTCCTCCACCCTCCCCGTCCTTCTCCTGCCCGTCCTTCACCTCTTCCTTACTGCCTTCGTCGTCGTCGTCGTCTCTCTCTCTCTCTCTCTCCTCATCTTCGCCCACTCGTGCACATCCTTCTCGTCCGCCTCGTCATCCTCTTGCCCCTGCTCCTGCTTCTCGTCCTCCCCCTCTCTCCGATCGGGCTCTGGACCTCCTCCCCCTTCTCTCGGGGGCGGACAGAACCCCCAACAGTGACACGTCGATTAGTGAATTGTCCGTTTTCGGTTCTCGAGAGGGCGCTGTGGCCGTTATTTTCCAGGCTTGCGCCCGCCAGGTTTGGGCCTCAGGTCGTTTTCACTAAACCACGTTTTACTAAAGGGGGGGTTGCAATTCATCCTTCGCCCTTCTGGACCTCCTCCCCCTCTGGACCTCCTCCCTCTGGACCTCCTCCCTCTGGACCTCCTCCCCCTTCTGGACCTCCTCCCTCTGGACCTCCTCCCTCTGGACCTCCTCCCGCTGGACCTTCATCCTTCGCCCTCTGGACCTCCTCCCCCTTCTGGACCTCCTCCCCCCTTCGCACTCTCTTGCGCGCCCCCGTCCCCAACCCCTCTGGATTGCAACTCTCGTCCTTCGTCGCGCCACCAGACGTGTCGGTAGGGCAGTCCAGGCGTTTCGCGAGGTATCTCTTCCAGGAGGGGGATAAACACACAGACACAATTCATCGTCGATCCCCAGGAAAGATGGGAAAATATGGGAAGTGGGGGGGGAAGACAAAAACCCAGAAAATATCGGGAAATAGAGGGAAGTCCTGTGATTTGTGTGTATGGATTTGTGTGTCCTGGGGCCCCTTCACTCTTCTTCCGCTGTAACGCTGCATCCTGCATGTTTGCATTCTGTGCGGGCTACACAGATGGGGAAGAGTTTTCAACGTAGGGCTGTCGTCTGAGTGCCGCGCACCCTCGTCTGACAAGTCTCCGGCAACCAGTCGAGGCGATATCAGCCTGTTCTTTGAACCTCTGGCTCTCGTATGCAAGCCGCGCGCGTGCGCCTCAAAGCCTTACATTTACGCGGCCTGAGCAACGGTTACTTTCAATATGCGGCTCCGGCATTGGCGCCTCGCGCATTTGTATTTGTCTTAATTCACCGAGCGCATTCCAATACTCGCAAAGTGCCTACTCGCAAATTTCCGAGAAAAAAACACACGTCTGATTCAACGTAATTTCTCGCAGATCCCCCGCGGGGGAACCAGGCCATTTGCGAGTAGTTACTTTGCGAGTGGTGGAACGCGCTCGTCTATTAATCATCCACGCAGGTGATGCAGAGATGGAGGGCGGTCCGTCCGCAAGTGCGGCTCCCAACGGAACCTGTAGTATCTTGACGTCTCTGGTCACGCAGCTAGACTCTCCAGCAACTGCACGGAGTGCGCGGCGTTGTGCCTGGAAAACCTTCGTGACTGATGGTCGTAAAGCTTGGAAATAGCATCTTCTATGGTCGTTCGAGGGGGGAGGGGAAACTGGCTCCCCCTTCCCCAAACATTCTGAACGCCTCGCGGCGCTGACAAACAACGAAATGGACGACGACGTCGACGACCAGCCCCAAGGGGAGGGCGGTGGCGAATGGGGCGGGGGTTAGGGGGGGGTCCGGTTCGCTTGGTGTTTGTGTTTGGGGGGATTTGTTTCAATTTCTCGCCTAATGTTTTGCACCCAAGCGCCCGCCCATGAATCGTGAATCGCGCTTTCTTAAATCGTGGAAGTCTGGTGTCTGCGCGATGGAGGGCGGTTCCTCTGAACGTCATTGTCTCTCTACGGCGCCGCGCGCCAACCAACTGCGAACACGGAGGGAGGCCTTCGAGATTTATTGTGTTTGCTGCGATTCTGCGACCGAACATGAATATTGAAAGTTTGCCCTACGTGCTACCATGGATGTCCGTGGGATCTCTTCCTTAGTAGTAGTAGTAGTAGTAGTAGTAGCAGTAGTAGTAGTAGTAGTAGTAGTAGTAGTAGTAGTAGTAGTAGTAGTAGTGGTAGTAGTAGTAGTAGTAGTAGTATTAGTGGTAGTAGTAGTAGTAGTAGTAGTAGTAGTAGTAGTAGTTTGTTGTTGTAGTTTTAGTAGTAGAGTAGTAGTAAGTAGTAGTAGTAAAGTATGTGATAGTAGTTAGTAAGTATAGTAGTAGTAGTAGTAGGTAGTAGTAGTAAAGAAGTTAGGTATAGGAGTAGTATAGTAAGGTAGTAATAGTGGGGAAGGGGGGGGGGGGGAATAGTAAGTGGTAGTAGCAGTATAGTAGGTAGTAGTAGTAAGTAGTAGTATATCGCAGTAGTAGTTGGTAGTAAGTATGGTAAGTAAATAGTAGTCGGTAAGTTAAGTAAGTCGTAGTAGAGTAGGAGTATAGTAGTAGTATAGTTAGTAAATAGTAGTAGTAGTATAGTATATTATAGGATTAGGAGTAGGATAGGATAGGAGTTAGTAAGTTAGTAGGTATATAGAAGTAGTTAATTAAGTAGTAGAAGTATATAAGTAGTAGTAAGTTATAGTAGTTGGTGGGTGGTGTGGTGGTTGGGTGGTGTGGTGGGGGTGGTGGGTGGTGGTGGTGTTGGTGGGTGTATGGTGGTTGGTGTGTGGGTCGTCCTCGTCGTCATCGTCGTGTCCGTCGGTCGTCGTCGTCGTCGTCCGTCGGGTCGCCGCCCGTAAGTTAGTAGGGAGTTATAAGGTAAAGTTAAATAAGTAAGTAGAGGAGATATAAGTAGTAAGTCGTCCGCCGGGGGGTAGTTGTAAGTAATAGTAAGCAGTAGTAGTTGTAGCAATACTAGTATGAGTAGTATAGTAGTAGGTAGTAGTAGTAGTAGTAGTAGTAGTAGTAGTAGTAGTAGTAGTAGTATAGTCGCAAGTATAAGTCCAGTAGTAGTAGGAGTATTCGAAGTAGTAGAGTTATATAGTTAGTCGTCGTCGTAGTAGTAGTAGTAGTAGTAGTAGTAGTAGTAGTAGTAGCAGTAGCAGTAGCAGTAGCAGTAGTAGTAGTAGTAGTAGTAGTAGTAGTAGTAGGAGTAGTAGTCGTCAGTAAGATACAAATGCGTTGACTCAAGAGGTGGTCTTGAGACGGGAGGGTTTATCGCAGCATCAGTGGCGCACGTGATCTTGATTCTCCTCCTCGTTCCCCAGTGGCTCTGAGTGCGGCGCCGGGCTCAGCATCGGCTGAAAGGGCGTCCCTCCCGTTCCATTTCCTCTCTGTCTTGGCGCCTTTTCGCCATAGGACGGAGCTAGGAGGAGGAGAAATCCGTCCCAGAGCGTTCCAGAACGCTATCAGAGCTTTCCTGACCGCCACTCTGAGAAGGCTGCGGCGCCCGAGACATCCTCGAGAGCCGCCGAATCTCTGAGATTCTCGATGTATCCTCACCCGATTTTGTTTTCGTCCTGGCTTCGCCTTACCCCAGGAGCTTGCAGAGTGCTCCCCGAATGTTCCAAAGGTCTTTGGATGTACTCCAAGGGGTTTCCTGCAACCTCCAGGGGCCTCGGGGGGTTCTTCCCGTGGGCTGGGCCCAGAAGTGATTACAGAGAGTTGTTCCTCGTCATTATCCGATTTCTCGAGTCTCTCCATCCCTCCCTCCTTCCTCCCTCCCTCCCTCCCTCCCTCCCTCCCTCCCCCCCCCCGCCATCCCTCCTCTACCTCGTCTCCTCGTTCTCCTCATTTCTTCGTCCTCCCTTTCTGGTCCCAAGAATCGAGTCAGCCGCTGACCAGCGCGCTTTGAAAACATGTACGGTTTTAATTGGCTGTGCCGCACGAAACTCACAATATCAACATGTTCCAGCTTTCAGTCCTCCATGGTAAGAAACTTCCTTTGAGCCTCATTTGTTGCTCCACCTTCAGATTCCGATGCTTCCACCTTGTAACTGGCCTCTTCCACCTTTCGTGGTTTTTCCCACTTTTAATGCTTGCTGTTTACGGCATCCCTGTAAGGTGTAGGGGGCGGGATGCGCGCGAGTTCGGGGGAATAGGGACGCGGAGAGGGGGTAGAGGCAAGCTAGGTGCGCTCGCGTCATATCTGACATCCTACCCCTCCCTCCCATCCCTTACCATGGCGCAGATCCCCTCTCTACTCGCACAGTCGGATGTCGAGCAGGGCAATGATCCCGAAAGGGTACGCGATGCATTGTAGAGCACGGCATGGCATGGCGTAGAAGAGCACCGCGAAGCGTAGTATCAACCTAGCATTGCATTGCATGCCGTGGCATGGCACGTGAATGGCACGGGAAATGCAAGCCACGCTGTCGAAGCCACGAGTCGAAACGAGCGGAAGCGCGGAAATGAGGCCAGCGCTGCAGCGGGAGCACGATTCGGAACGAGCGGAAGCACGCCGGAATCGGCCCGGGAGGCTCCCGGGCGCCAGAAGCAGAAATTCAGCATTTTCAAAAGACAAATGTGTATTGGAATGGCCTTTTTTCGGCGCCGCCTCGGAACTCGATTTTCCGGCGCCGGCCGGAAGGAGAGAGGGGGAAAGGGAAAAGAAAACGGCGGATAAGAAACAAAAGGGGAGGGCGGGCCCAGTGAGGAGGAGGACGAGGAAGAGGAGGAGGGGGAGGAGGTGGGCAAAGGAGGGAAAGGACTGGGCACCAGCGAGGGGGGGGGGAGACAGAGAAGAGGAGAGGCAGAGGGAGAACAGGGAGGCGAAAGAGGAGCGGCGGGGGCGCGGCAGCGAGTCGGCACTTGTGCGGTCTGCGGTGACAGTTTCATGCATAGAAAGGCCACTGTAGCTCACATGAATATGGTCTGTGCTGAGGTAGGGGCTGAACAAGGTTCCCTGCTAGAGCCTGCCTGCACCACTAATCGTGAGCCTTACGCGTTGTCTCTTTCGAATTACCGCCTGCTCTGCCATAAAACCTTTGCGGACAGAGAGACGGCGCAATGCCACCTAGCGGCAGCCATCAAACATACACGACGCATGACAGATTTCAGTGCACGGAACCCTGCGCGTGTGGAGCACAAGTGCACTCAATCTATTCTCTGTAGTTGTTCTGCTCCGACGCCTGCTCTACTAGATCGGCACTTCGTTCGAGAACACCTGGACAAACATCTGGGGACACACATTCTTATTTTCGATGTCGAATTGGCTGGCAGCAGTGCAGGATATCGAGCCTCAGGACGCGGTGGAGCACAAACGTGTCAGGACAAAGAAATCGAACCCCACCAGCTTGGAGAAGAAACTCATCTTCTGCCTCGAGGCGAGGATCAGAGAGAGAGAGAGATGCCAACGACACGCACTTCAAGTCCCTAGCGGGCCACCCTGCGCCCATGAACATGAAAAAGGCAACCTCTCTACGACGAGGAGACAATAGACAAGGCAGCGGACACCAGCTAGGTAGTCCACACCTGCACGCGTTCGCCAGCATGCTCGAGTCCCTCAAGGACACCAACGTCGAAGACAAGCCCAAGGAGATGCGCGTGCTGTTCAGGGCTGTCGCCGGCTCCACAGGGTAGCAGGAGAAGACAGCAAGCCGTCGGAGGTGGAAGATTTCTACCATTCGTGCCGTGTCAGCGACTACCACGTGAAGACGGGATCGCAGCCGATGTGCAGGATCATCTTTGCGGTCGAGGGCCACTGGCCAGTGAGCTGGAGTTTGGTCGAGGAGGCCTAGCTGGACACCGTCAGGGCGCACCCGCTCGAGCTGGACCGTAGCACTGCAGCACGAAGCACATCCACGGTGCGATCGCCAGGCTCCTGGCTCTCTCCATGCGGGCGGCGGGCATGACGAAGATGCCAGGCAAGGCTCCAGTAGGAGGGCTCGCCCATGCGATTCGAAACAAGTAGAAGAGCAGCCCAGTGGCCAGAACAGCAGCAGGGCAGCACAGGAGGTCTACCAGAGGACCCATCTTCCCTCCTTCGCCCCCTAT